GCCCAGACTGGAGTGCAGTGGCCGCTCCCGGCCACCGCAGCCTTGACCTGCTGGGCGCCGGCGATCCTTCCGCCTCAGCCTTCCAAGTAGCTGGAACTACAGGCGCGCGCTACCACGCCTGGCTGATTTTTTGGTTTATTGTGGACACGAGGTCTCGCCAAGTTGCCCAAGCGGGTCTCGAACCCGTGGACTCAGGCAATCCTCTCACCTCAGCCTCCCAAAGCGCGGGATTACAGGCTGAGCCACCGAGCCCGGCGTCTTTCACCTTTTACACAGACTTTTAATCTATCGATCCCAAAGCTTGGGTCTTTGGCCCATGCAGTGTCATGCAGTGCAGGGGTTTGTGACAGATCCTTATATAGCCCAGGACTCTAAAATGACTCTAACTTCAGTGGGAGTTGCTAAGTAAGGGAACATCCAAAAAAGTCTCCTTAGTTTGGACTAAAAAGTCTTCCCTAAAAACACAATCCTGAGACTCTGCTCATGAATTTGGGGCTTGATGCTCTATTCCCTGCATGGTCTGCGAAGGCACCAGCTGGGGAGATAGTGCTGTAGGATTTGAAGCCCCCGGATTCCTGGTTGACATCAATCCAGTGTCTCTCTGAGGATAACTCAATTGGGTCCCTCGGGATTTTGATGAATTTAGATCTGCCAAATATTAGCAATTTTAAGTCCAGAGAAGCAACAATCCACCGTGACTGAGTCAGCAGAAAGAAGCAGTATGATTAGACCTCCAAGGACTTCAGAAAGAGAATTAGCAAACTGAATATAAAGTAACTGCTTTGAAAAATGCTTGCAGAAGGAAAACACCTTTTACAGAGATGCCGTCTCCTGCTTTGGTTGGTTCGGTAAAGAACAAGCAAGACTGGGTGGTACAATGTGACATGCCTTGCTTTGATGGTTAAAGGATACAAACCGAGACTTCTAGGGTCTAAAATTGGTATCCCAGCTGAAGTAGCAGATGACTGATTGCCAGTACCTATTGATCCCAAAGCTTGGTTCTGAGTTGCAATTGGAAGTTACTGTTTTGTGCAGAAATTCTCCTGGGGAGACAACTTGGTCTGCACTAACCTTCATCTTCCTGAGAACCATGCTATAAAAGGGCAGCGGCATTTAGATTGGGCCGCCCGGGCTCGGTTGGTTGGTTCCTTGATGTTCACAGTCTCTGCTTCTAGCAATTGCTCCTGTGTGCTGCCTGCCTGTCACATCAGGATTATCCGCCCAACAGACATCTCAGAGACCCAGAATTTAGTATATGACTATACTATCTACTTGCCAAACTCAGGAATGAGTTTCAGTCTCTCACCTTTTACACAGACTTTTAAAAACTTAGTTACCCACTTCAGGATTCTTTGTTCTCTCTCTGAATGTCATGTTCTGATCTATTTGTAAGTGATGGCCTAGAGTTCAGAGACATTGTTATCTCAAGAAATGTCATTCCACATCTGCTGGTCCTAATTTCATCAACCATATCAGTGAGTGTCTTGAAATGAGGAAACCTGGCTAGGTAACAAATTCCCAAGGTTTGGAAGTTAGGGGAAGTACTACCAAATGATACAGCATGTGGCTGTGCCTGGCCACTTAAGACAGCACTTAAAACAGGCTTAGGACTGAGTATCCTTTTGGGGTAAAGATTGACCCAAGTTTGTCCTTAGAGGTCAGTAGCACTGATCTTTCTCTCAGGAACATTGGAAGAGATCCATCAAATTTATTTGAAGCTGGCTGGGCACAGGGGCTCATTGCACTTTGGGAGGCCAAGGTGGGAGGATCTCTTGAGGCCAGGAGCTTGAGACCAGCCTGGGCAAAATAGTGAGACCTCCATCTATTAAAAACAATAATAAATTAGCCAGGTGTGGAGGTATGGACCTATAGTCTCAGCTACTCAGGAGGCTGAGGCAGGAGAATTACTTGAGCCCAGCAGTTTGAGGCTGCAGTGAGCTAAAATTGTGCCACTGCACTCCAGCCTAGGTGGAAGACTAAGACCCCAACCCTAAAAAAAGTTTTCTTTTAATAAAATAAAGTTTTTTGAAGCTTACTGTCCTCCCCAAGTAGATGACTTAGATCTCCATTCCAGGGCACAGACAGATGTGATGGCTCACCAGTTCTATTCATGGGGAATAGGGAATAGTTTAGAGTCAAGGTTGATTGGTGTGGCAATAATAGAGCACGTCTTAGATTAGGAATTGTGTTTTAGATTTGCCTTAAACAATAATAAAGAGAGATCAAGGGAATCTGTGCAAAACTCTCAAGGTGGGAGAAAGCCTGACATCGTTGAACCAGGAAAAGACTAGCCATGACCAAGGGAGGTTGCAAGGTGAGTTGGCAAGTAGGGAAGGGGTTTAGACATCATCCTGGTGGCCTTGGGAAGGCTTCAGAGGATTCAAGGCAGGAAGTAGCATGGCCTGATCTTTCCGGATTATAGCAGAGGAAGATGGTAAAGCAGATGAGTCTGGGATGCTGCTATGCTAGACTTGGAAGGGAGACAGCTAGATGCAAGGATGCTCCCAGGTTTCAGGTTAGGTTATACAGATGAGATGACTGTGCTCCTAGAGAAGGCGGCAGAATCAGAGCTGCTATTTTTTTTTATTTTTTTATTTTTTTTTGAGTTGGAGGCTCACTCTGTCACCCAGACTGGAGTGCAGTGGCCGCTCCCAGCCACCGCAGCCTCGACCTGCTGGGCTCCAGCGAGCCTTCCGCCTCAGCCTTCCAAGTAGCCGGAATTACAGGCATGCGCTACCTTGCCCGGCTGATTTTTTGATTTATTGTAGAGATGAGGTCTCGCTGCCCAGGCGGATCTTGAACCCGCAGGCTCAGGCAATCCACTCACCTCAGCCTCCCAGAGGCACGGGATTACAGGCTAAGCCACTGAGCCCGGCTCAGAGCTGTTATTGCAGATGTTAGCACATTCACGATCGGCAAATTTTTCACTTTCCTAATACTGAGCGGGTGAAAATAAAAAAACCTGAAGCCGGTTGCCACAAACTTCTGTCGTTAAGTACAAGTAAAATGGTCTTTTCTTAATTGTCACCTTTTTCACAATACAGCTGAAAGTTGCAGACATATCCAGTATTTGTCTCAGATACCACTCTGACTAGCATTTCGTACTTTGTATTTTAATTCAGATTATAAACTGAATATATAATATTCGGAAAGAGAATTTGCAAAGATGTAAATTCATGTCAGCAGCAACCAGGAACAGAATTTGGAGTGATGTAATTTCACATCTGCAATCGCAAAAGAGTTAAGTTGAGGTGACTTAGAGGCACTGTCACAGCAGAGTCAGGTTGTTGGATGTGCCAGTCTAAACAACATGTGTACATATATCATCCATTTGGGCAAGGTCACCTGGAGCAGGGATCTGCAATGCTGACCCATCCAGCTGCTTGCTTTGTAAATAAAGTTTTATTGGCATACAGCCACACCCACTCATTCGCATGCTGTCTGGAGCCTTTTGTGTGTGTGTATCCCAGGGGCAGAGTTGAGTAGTTGTAACAGAGGCAAGATGGCCCATAGGCTGAAAATGTTTACTATCTAGCCTTTTGCAGAAAAAGCTTGTGAACCCCTGACCCATAGTGGGAGGAGGGCCTGGGACCAAGTCCCTGGGGCTCTAATGTTCAGAAATCAGGCAGAGTCTTCCAAAAAGAAAAAAAACCCCTTGGCAACAGAAAACCAGGTTCAACATCATAGATGCCAAAAAGAGCTTTTTCAAAAGGAAATGACTGACAACTAAATACAGCTAAGAGGGGCTTTAAGACTGACAGACAGCTGCTGAGTTTGGTGACATGGAAGACGCTGGTTTCCATCCTAACTACAAAGTAGGGACAGAAACCAGACCAGAATAACTGGCAGAACAATTGGGAAGCTGCGAGGTAGACATGACTGTAGATGCCTCCTTAAGGCTGGACTCTGAAAATCAGAAGTCAGGCAAAGGCTGGAGAGGGGTGTGAGGGGAGAGGTGGATGGTCCCAGAGCAGGTTTCCAACCTGGTAGGAAAGATTCAGGGGACAGCAATGATCCTGGGGCAAAGTCTTTAAAGGCAAAAATATGATGGAATCCGAAGTGTAGGAAGACTAATTCTCAAACAGAAGATCAGAAACATGTGTTTGGTGTGCCAGTAGAGAGATAGACTGGTGGGAAGACCCGGAAACTCCTGCTTGGTCTTTTGTCAATGAAAAATGAAATTAGATTGACAAGTAGAGCAGGGAAGGATATTTTGAAGAATTCAAGGAAACCTCCATCTAACATTTGAATATGAAATATAAAGCTCATTCTCCATGTCCTTAATACATATCACCCCCCAGAACAAATTTCTTTTTTTTTTTTTTTTTTGAGTTGGAGTCTCACTCTGTCGCCCAGACTGGAGCGCAGTGGCCGCTCCCGGCCACCGCAGCCTCGACCTGCTGGGCTCCGGCGATCCTTCTGCCTCAGCCTTCCAAGTAGCTGGAACTACAGGCGCGTGCTACCACGCCCGGATGATTTTTTTGATTTATTGTAGAGATGAGGTCTCGCCTGCCCAGGCAGGTCTCGAACCCGCAGGCTCAGGCAATCCACTCACCTCAGCCTCCCAAAGGCGCGGGATTACAGGCTGAGCCACCGAGCCCGACTCAGAACAAATTTCTATTCGAAACTCAAAAGCTTTGGTTCATGCTGATCAATAATATTGATCAGAGATGGTAAGAGTAAACTGCCTTCTGCGTTTTCTCTTCTTACACCTAATGCTGGAAGCAGTCTCCTTTTACAGTCACATTTCTGCGGAATATTATGTGAACCTTGTCCAACCTGCGCCAAAACGAGAACCCACACCCTTGCAAAGAAGTTGTGAAGCGAATACTGGCAGCCCTCTTCCTCCTCCCATAGCACCATGACAGTGAGATCCTCTCGGACTTCTGCTGGGCCCTGCCCTTCCTCACTGATGACTGCAACCAGTGTATCGGCCAAGTGCTTGACACGAGGGTCCTGCTCAAACAGGTAGATCTCCTGAGCAGCTCAGAACTTAGTATCTTGGAAAATGTTATCTTGAACCCTTGAGATTAGAGTCTGTGACTCATATTCACTCTAGCAAGTTCTGGCACAAAGCTTGTTGTCTGTATTTCCCTGGTCTCTGCCACTCTCTAGCCAAAGACTTGAACCTTGATCTAAAATCGATTTGTTTTGATCTAAAATTCGAGTGGGTGTTAAGTAACTTACTTTTTCTTTTCTGCTCTTTTTTGTTTTTGAGTCAGAGTCTTACTCTGTGGTCCAGGTTGGAGTGCAGTGGCATGCTCATGACCACCACAGCCTCGATCTGCTGGGCTCAGGTGATCCTTCTGCTTCAGCCTTCCACAGGCACATACCACCACACCCAGCTAATTTTTTTTGATATATTGTAGAGACAAGTTCTCACCAAGTTGCCCAGGCTGGTCTCAAACCCTTGGGCTCAGGCAGTCCTCTTGCCTCCGCCTCCCAAAGTGCTAATATTACAGGCATGAGCCACTGCGCCCGGCTAACTTACTTTTTCTTAATTTGATAACTAGGAAAGTAAAATTGTCTATAATCCCACCACCCGGTGAACTAGTCTATCTTTTTTTTCTAGTGGTCTAGGTATCATAGATTTTAACAAACTGACTTATTGTATGTGTGTGTGTGTGTATGTGTGTGTGTGTGTGTGTAAAGCTCATGATAACATTTGAATTTCTTATACTAGCATAAAAGAAAATGTGCCATGCACAGTGGCTCACTCCTGTAATCCCAGCATTTTGGGAGGCTGAGGCAGGAGGATTGCTCGAGTCCAGGAGTTCAAGAGCAGACTGGGCAACATAGTGAGACCTTGTCTCTATAAAAAATACAAAAATTAGCCAGCGGTAGTGGCACAGCCCTGTAGTCCTAGCTACTCAGGAGACTAAGGAGGGAGGATTACTTGAGCCCAGGAGACAAGGCCATGGTGAGTCGTGATCATGCCATTGCACTCCAGTCTGGGCAACTGAGTGAGACCCTGGTTCAAAAAAAAAAAAAAGGAAATTATCTGTTATCTTCCTCCCAATTTGTTCTCTTAGCCTATCTCCGATTAGATATAGGCAAAAAGCAAGTAAAGCCATCATCGAACACTTTGCTAGCTTATTAAACGTGTGTTACCCACATCATATGCTGCTTTGGAACGTGGGTATATTAAATTTAAGATGCCTCTATTCTGCCCTTTTTTATTTCTATGCCTGACATTGTATGTTGTGCAGCCTTAGGGATTATCTACTCTGAGAATAGCATAGTATTTCTCAGATGTCAGGGATTGGTTTGGGGAGAGTGTTGGGGAGGGGCATGGAGAATGTGAAAAGAAGAAGAGAAGAGGCCACTCAGGATTCTGGGGCTCAATTGAAGCTGTCCTGGAAAGGTTGTCATTAGAAATAGTACTATTTCCACCTCTCACTTCAGTAGCAAGTAAGTAGCCTAATAGAACTAGCAAGTAAGTAGCCTCTAGAACTGTTGACGAACTTCACTGGGACTGTCATTATCGTGCAGAGAAACCCAAAGAAATCCACAGCCCACCCTGTTAGGAGAGTTGTTGCCTTGAGCCCAAATCATAGACCCCTCCTGGGGACCTTCAGAGTTACTGTGACGGGGCTCATGACTACATCAGAAAATGCCATTGGGATCTCATTCTCTTCAATTAAATATGCAACAGAAGCTCAACACTGGTGCTAACTGGAAATTCAGTCGAAACTATTACATGATGAACACTGTAACCAATTTAGCATTTTCTCCATTGGAAACTATAAGAGAAGGACAATAACATTTCCTGATGAAGGTATCCTGTGACCTCGATCCCACTTGAATTGGAACTATGGGGAAGCTGGAAAATTCCTTAAAATGATATAAACAGAGGTCAGGTTCAGTGGCTTGGCCTGTAATCCCAGCACTCTGGGAAGCTGAGGCAAGTGGATGGCCTGAGCCCGCGGGTTCAAGACCCATCCGTGCAACTTAGCAAGACCTCATCTCTACAATAAACAAAAAATTAGCCGGGCGTGGTAGCACATACCTGTAGTTCTGAGGTGGAAGGATCACTGGAGCCCAGCAAGTCAAGGCTATGGTGGCCGGGAGGGTGCCACTGCACTCCAGTCTGGATGACAGAGTGAGACTCCAACTCAAAAACAAACAAACAAACAAACTATGTAAAAAGAGGAATGGGTGTGTTGAATTAATAAGGATCATGGATATAACTATTGTTCACAGGCTTCCAGAGAACCATCGCCACAGTAATGACTCGATTTTGAGAGGGCACAGAACTTGTGGTGACTGTCACTTTCTCCTGTGACTGATTTGTGATACTTAAACTTCAAGCCTTGTTCTTCTAGATCTCTTCTCTTTTCATCGTGGGGAACATCATCACGGGCACAGATCGGCAGACCCAGAAGGCCATCGATGCGGGCATACTCAGCATGCTGTCCCAGATCCTGTGGCACTCCAAGTCCACCATCCAGAAGGTGGTGGCCTGTGTTCTGAGCAACATGGCTGCAGGACCCTGCCAGTACATCCAGCAGCTAATTGGTTATGACACACTAACTCCCTTGGTGGCTCTGCTAAAAAATGTAAGTGGCATACTCAGCATTCAATGGCCCTGGGTTGAACTCCTTCAGGAATTCAGACATAGGCTCAGAAGCAAGTTAATTGAGATCCCACAAAGCTGTGATATGTTAGATTCCTAGCTCTGCCTGTAAAAAGAAAAGAACCCTTTAAAGTTTTTGAAAAACGCTTTAAAGTTTTGGGAGACTAAGCAAGCATTGTTCAATGAAAAGGTGACCCCATAGCTCAAACGTCCAGAAAGCTCTCGAGCTAGTAAATATTGGCTTATTTCTAAGTGGTGGTAAAAGAATGTGCCACCTACTCTCTCCCTACCAAAAGACGGGTGGAGGTTTTCTTTTGTTCCAGGAGGAAAAACATCAGGCTATGGTGATGTCATATACTGAAGAAAAGTAGCCTTCTCATTGTACAAAGTAAATTGATTAAGGTGGTAATATAAACAGAAAATCCAGATATATAAGTAGAAATATGGCCACCATAATCTAGCACTTTAAGAGGCCAGGCAGAAGGATCGCTTGAGGCCAAGAGTTTGAGACCAGCCTCCGCAACATAAGGAGACCCTTGTCTCTACAAAAAATAAATTAGCTGAGGGTGTTGGCATGTGCTTGTAATCCCAGCTATTTGGGAGACTGAGGCAGAAGGATCCCTTGAGCCCAGGAGTTCAGGACTTCAAAGACTTCAGTGAGCTATGATCGCACCACTACACCTCTGCCTGGGCAACAGAGTGAGATCCTGTCTCAGGAAAAAAAAAAGAAAGAAAAAGTAGAAATATGATAAAGCTTCACTCCTCCTCCTGATTCCCACTCCTCTGCTGCAGGGGCAATTACTATTATTAGTGTTTCCTTTTGCCTCCTATTAATGAATGAGCTACGTTTAGACCATCTACAGTTAGGAGTGGTTTCATCAGGCTGGGGGTGGAGTGGACAATGGAGTAACATGAGGAAGAGATGCTACTGGCGGTGTCCTGTTCTCAGGTTGGATGGTGGGTTCCCAGGTATGTACCATGCATGAAAATCTAGGCAAGAGGGAAAGACCAAGGACATAGCTCAAACTATAGCATCTTCTAATTTATTTGGCACTTCCCATCCTGGTTTGAAATATGAATACTCCTTGATTCATCACTGGATGTTTTCTTTTGAACTAAAACTAGCTTGGAGCCATATTTTTTTCGTTTATTTTTGTTTTTCTCTGAGGTCACAGTCTTCCTTAGCCATAAAAACGGGAAGAACTCCTACCTAGGAATAGGAGGATTCGTGGTAAATTACTCCCATATCTGTGGGCCAAGTGCTCTTTATAAGATCAAAGGATTCATTGAGTGGTATTTCAGCAGTCTTTCTCTGTCACCTCTGGGCTGACTCAGTCCCATAGACTCAGTCAGTGTACCCAACCTTATAGGTACTTGTACAAAGCTTTACTAGGTCGGAAAGACTAGAAGTGTAGATATAGGCCACTATCATCTAAAACTCCAAGCATAATTCCTAGTCTATGTAGATTATCTGAAATGGTTTATGTTGGTTTTACTTTTCCCATAGCCTGATGTAGGAAAATGAGTCTATTTGACCTTAGAACCTCTCCCACTTGAGAACCGTCTTGGCTTCTCAAAGATGCTGCCTTCTGATTGAGAGCTAGAGGTAGGTAGCCAAGGTGTTCAATGTAAATTGCACATACAGTCCTGGCTGTCACCAGCCTCCCTAGAAAGTGAACCAAGTTGACATCACTATATTTAGGTTCCTCAGGATCTATAGAGAATGTAAATGTTCTTTTTCTACAGGGAGAATTTAAAGTACAGAAAGAGACTCTGAACAGTGGCTAAATTTGTAACTAAGGCCACTGTGGACCAGCTAATCTGGAGTGTCCACTCTGGAATCCCAGAGCCACTGGTAAATCTGCTCACTGTCCCAGATGTCAAAATCGTTCTCATTATCCTCAACATCATTTTTTACACCCTCTAAGTGAGCTGTTCTGAGCAAGTTGGTTTGTAAATAGCAGTCTCCAATTTGATGAAGACATTTAATTTGGTTCTTAAAACCTAAGTTGGTGGTTCCAGCCACTTAGAAGGCTGAGGTGGAAGGATCTCTGGTGCCCAGCAGGTCAACGCTGCGGTGGCTGTGAGTGTGCCACTGCACTCCAGCCTGGGCAACAGAGTGAGACTCCAACTCAAAACATTAAAAAAACAAAACAAAAAACCCTACTGAGCTCAGTGGCTCAGCCTGTAATCCCAGCACTTTGGAAGGCCGAGGTGGGTAGATTGCCTGAGCCTGGTGGGATTGAGACCAAGCCAGGCAACTTGGTGAGACCTCGTCTATACAATAAATCAAAAGTTAGCTGGGCATGGTAGTGTGCGCCTGTAGTTCCAACTACTTGGAAGGCTGAGGCGGAAGGATTGCCGGAGCCCAGCAGGTCGACGCTGGGGTGATTGTGAGCGTGCCTCTACACTCCAGCCTGGGCCACAGAGAGAGACTCCAACTCAAAAACAAAAACAAAAACAAAACAAAAACCCAAACTGGATTCTCTGCTCCCACTGTCCCCTACCCACACCTTCTGTGGGTAACACAAAGTGAGTCATCTCAAAGAAGGACCGTCATCTTATTTTCTCAAATGAATCTCTATGTGCCAGACACAGTACTAAATCCTTGCTCTAACAGAGATTATGTGTTAGTGGGACAGGGAACGGGGAACAGACATTTCAGGTAAGGAGTTAGGAATAAAGCAAATAAGATAAAGATGCAGTCACTAAAAGTTCAGGGTAGGAGGTGGATATAGCTATCATGTATGCAGTAGTCAGACGTTCCTCTGAGAATCATTTGAACAAAGATCTAAAAGGAGTGAGTGAATCTTGTGGATAACTGGGGAAGAACATTCTAGGCAAAGAGAATAGCAAGGAAGTGGTTGCAGTCAGAGGAGAAAAAAAGAGTGAGGAGTCCTCGGAATTCAGGCTTAAGGTAGCCATGGACCAGATCACACAGAGTCTGTGAGAACTTTGACTTATTCTGAGTGAGGGAGAGAAACCAACAAAAGGTTTGAAGCAGGGAAAAAAAAAAAAGAAAAGAAAAGAAAAGCCAGTGAGTCACATAGCTTAGAAGGCTGAAACACAGGATATATGAAGGAGCAGCAAAAAACTAGCAGGGATAGATCTTGGATGGGGGCCATGCTGAAATTCCTTCTCCATTCAGCTATATGGCTAGGAAAATGGACTACAAAGTGTTGAACTAGAATTCTAGAGAAGTCTTAAAGATATGAATAGACACTTCTCAAAAGAAGACATACATGCAGCAAACAGATACATGAAAAAATGCTCAGCTTCACTAGTCATCAGAGAAATGCAAATTAAAACCACACTGAGATACCTCCTAACTCCAGTCAGGATGGTCATCATCAATAACTCAAAAAACAACAGATGCTGGAGAGGATGTGGAGAAAAGGGAACACTTCTACACTGTTAGTGAGAGTGCAAACTAGTAAGTCTCTGTGGAAAACTATGTGGCAATTCCTCAAAGATCTAAAAATAGACCTCCCATATGATCCAGCAATCCCCCTTCTGGGAATATACCCGGAGGAACTCAAATCATTCTATAAAAGAAGATACCTGTGCATGCATGTTTATTGCAGCATTATTCACAATAGCAAAAACATGGAACCAACCGTGCTGCCCATTGAAAGTAGACTGGATTTTTAAAATATGGTACATATACAAAATGAAATATTATGCAGTCATAAAGAAGAACAAATGAACTTTGCAGCAACTTGGAATCAAAGAAGTGGGCCCCGAACAATTACGATACTACAAGAAGGGAATTGGCAGTAGTGGGAAACTGCTGGGGTGGGGCGCGGGGGAGGGTGTGCATACTTCATCAATAAGGGTATCTGTGAAATGGGAACCAAAGTGAAGCCCAAACTTTACCTGTACAATGACCATTTGTATGCCTAACCCTGAATTGTACCCTACATCTTTTTTTTTTTTTTTGAGTCGGAGTCTCACTCTGTTGCCCTAGACTGGAGTGCAGGAGTCTTGCTCTGTCGCCCCAGGCTGGAGTGCAGTAGCATGCTCACAGCCACCACAACCTCGACCTGCTGGGCTCAAGTGATCCTTCCTTCTCAGCCTTCCAAGTAGCTAGAATCACAGGCACGCACCACCATGCCTTGCTAATTTTTTTTTCTTTGAGTTGCAGTCTTGATCTGTCACCCGGGCTGGAGTGCAGTGGCACGCTCACGGCCAACCCAGCGTCGACCTGCTGGGCTCTGGCAATCCTTCCGCCTCAGCCTTCCGAGTAGCTGGAACTACAGGTGTGTGCAACCATGCCCAACTAATTTTTTTAATATTTATTTTTTTATCGTAGAGATGAGGTCTCACCAAGTTGCCCAGACTGGTCTCAAGCCCATGGGCTTAGGCAATCCTCTTGCCTCCACTTCCCAAAGTGCTGGGATTACATGCATGAGCCACCATGCCCAGACATGTACCCTATATCTTAAAAAAAAAAGAAGAATTCTAGAGAGGTCTTAATTCTGAAATAAAGCAAAGTTAAACCAGTATATAAACATTATTTGTGTTCTGTATTGCTGTGTAACAAATTATCCCTTAGGGACTTAAAATAATCATTTCATATCTCACATAGGTGAGGTTAGGAATCTGGACTGGCTTACCTGGATGATTCTGACTTGGTCTCTCACAAGGTTCAGTCAAGATGTCAACTGGGGCTGCCATCATCTGAAGGCTTGATGGAGGTTGGAAGATCAGCTTTCAAGGTGGCTCACACAATGGCTAGCAAGCCCCCCTTGTCATGTGGATCCCTCTGCAGGGCTGCCTGAATGTCCTCACATCATGGTAGTTGGCTTCCTATGGAGCAAGTGGATCTAAAAGCAAGCTGAGGCAGCTTGCAGTGGCTCACACCTATAATCCCAGCACTTTGAAAGGCCAAGGCAGGAGGATTGCTTGAGGCCAGGAGTTTAAGACAAGCCTGGGCAACAAAGCCAGACCCTATCTCTACAAAAAAAAAAGCCCCAGAAAAATTAGCCAGATGTGGTGGCACACACCTGTAGTCTCAGCTACTTGGGAGGTTGAGGCAGGAAGATCACTCGAGCCCAGAAGTTCGAGGCTGCAGTGAGCTGTGATCATTGTGCCACTGCACTCCAGCTTGGGTGACAGAGTGAGACCTTATTTCAAAAAACAAACAAACAAACAAACAAACAAACAAACAATCCAAGGGGAGGACCAGTGTCCCTCTTAGGAGAGTAGAAACTTGAAATAAAATCTGGCATGCCTAAGTCTTTGGGGGACAGGGGATGCTGACTTCTTTTGCCTTCTTTGACTACCTACATGCATGCATGCTTAAGTCCTAGATTGCATCCTATTATTTACATGCTAAAGTTAATCTTCTGTGGTATAGGCCAGAGGCACTGATATGCAGCAAGTTTCTTTCATCATCAACTATGACCTTCCTACTAACAAGAAAAACTGTCTTCACAGAATCAGTCATGGTGGCCGGTTTGGCTCTAAGGGTGTGGCTATTAACATAGTGACAGAAGACAAGAGGAGGCTCCGAGACACTGAGATCCTCTACAACACCTCCATCGAGGAGATGACCTTCAATGCCACTGACCTCACAAGAGAGGGGCTGTCTTTACCTAGTCCCGGCCAAGGTTCAACCTTGAGGGGCTGAGGAGTAACAGGAGAGGGGAGGGAAGAAAACCAAGGGATGGACATCTTGCCATTTTTTTCCTTGGAATACAAGTCACTTTTGAGGCAAAAATAAGACTACAACAAAAAAGTAAGGTGAAAGCCCCAGTGTCCTTTATGATCTGACTTTGGAGGTCACACTGCCATTTCAATAAAATCCGGTTGGCTATACAGGTCAGCCCTATTCAATATGAGTAGGAAACTACAGGAGGGCTTGAATGCCAGGAGACAGGGTTCATCAAGGCCAACTTGAACACTGGCTAGATTCATTTGGTTAAGGTCCTTTCATAGGCAAGTAAGCCGTTTGAAAAGCTTCAGAGTAACACTGGGGAATTCCTTTTAAAAGTCTTTGTTAAGCGTCTTTTTCATGTAACTGTCTTGGAAAGAACGAACCTGAGTCAAGACCAGATTTGAAACCTGGCCCGTGACACCCTGAGACTTTGAGAAAATCACAGAGATAAAGACTAGAGATTCGGCAGTTTGGACATGACAGGTGTATGAAAGTACTCTTATGGGCTATAGAAATATAGCTTCATCTGCTTCATTTGAGTTAAACACTTGAGGCTTTGTCTTGGGAAAGATTGGGCAAATCCCATCTGATGGACCAGGGAAGCTCCTCTGTGGATAGTAGCACAGAGAACGGCAGGTTAGAGGCTCAAAGTGGGGTTGCCAAAAGCTTCAGGTGGGTAGCAGAGTGCCATTAAGGCTGTGAAGTAACTTTTGGACCATTTGCTGTCTGTCAAGGTCTAAGATCCTTCTCCAGGGTGCCTACTGCCCTGAGTCTTCCCTCACTTCCCGGTTTTCTTTCTGAGGATGACCTAGCACTTTGCATCCTGCTTCAGTTTCTTTTCTCCAAGCCAAGAACTCACTTTGGACATACAGATACGATGAGAGGGCATCGAGGCTTCCATAGACACCTCCAGCTCTCACCAGATAAACAGTGAGGCTTAGGTTACATTTTTATTGTTGTTTTGTAGAGATGGGATCTCACTATGTTGCTCAGGCTAGTCTTGAATTTCTGGGCTCAAGCTATCCTCCTGCCTTGGCCTCCCAAACTGCTGGGATTACAGGTGTGAGCCACCATGCCCAGCTTAAGTCATGTTTAGTCTGACACATAGGACTTTTTTTTTCACTGTGCACAAAATAACAAGCAGAGCCCTTTGGGATATGATGCCCAAGTGCCTTCTTTTTCTCTCTCAACTTTCTCCTGACATACTGTCTACCTGGGATGCTCTCTCTTTTCTTAATATGCAGCACTTTTTTTCTTCAAACCTTTGTTCTTGCTGTTCCTTCTTTCAGGAATGCTGCTTTCCTAGCCTGGTAAAAAGTACTGTTCACCACATGCATGTTTGTTGCAGCTCTATTCACAATAGCAAAAACATGGAACCAACATGCTGCCCATCGAATCTGGACTGGATTTTAAAAAAAAGTGGTACATATACACAATGGAATATTATGCAGCCATAAAGAAGGACAAACATATGAACTTCACAGCAACTTGGATGGATTTAGAATCTATCATACTCAGGGATCTATCACAGAAACAAAGTACAGAGTACCATATGTTCTCATTCATAAGTGGACCTTGAACAGTTATCATAATACTGTGAGAAAGGGATTGGCAGTAGTGGGGAACTACCAGGGGAGAGGGGGTGGGATTGGCAGTTAAAGGAAACTGCCAGGAGAGGGAGGGGCACATCTCATCAACAAGGGTACCTGCATAATGAACATTTGTATACCTAAC